GTTTTATATAATTTGATTAATTAGTTATTGAATTATAAGTAAATATATGATTCTGATTTTTTTTGCACCACACTATATATCAGTATACCAATAACAATAACTATAACAACAAATTAAATCATATATACATTATTATTTGTATTAACAAAGATTATATTTACAAGTCAAAAAAAATTAAAAAGACAGGACAATAAGCCTGATCAAGGGTTCTTTTGAAAATATAATTTTTTTTCTCATAGATTTTATAGTTTATTTGATTTTGTTCTAGTTTTAATTATATATATTTTTTTTTTCAAATTTTTTTTATATCTTAGCCATTTTTTTTTTAAGTAGATAAGCATAGTTATTACTTGACCTATATTTAACAACAATATTGTTTTAAAATTTCTTTTTCAATATTAGCTATTTATACAATAGTATCTATAAGCAGACTAGTATTTAACTTGTTGTATCTGCTGAACTGTACCTACATAAAGTTTCTTATACTTATGCCAGGAATAAATGGCCTTAGTAAAGTCTCGTCAAAAATTATGTTTGCCTTGACAGAAATACATTGCAAATATTCAATCATAGCTCATATCTAATTGCATTATATCTAGTAATTAACGTTATGACCAAATCGCCAGAGTAAAAAAAAAATCCTAAGGCAAACGTTTAATGGATTGATAAATTATTCCGAGATTATTCTACAGAAAAAGAGGATTGTTATATAATAAATAAATTAACTATTTTGTGATTATCAAAAGTGGGAAGGCTTTCGTAAAAATCTTTTGCTCAAAATAATGAGCATGGCAATTTAAGCCTTTCGCTAAAGTATCTTAATGTTGTGGCGGAGTGTCAGTGAAATTGGTAATAGAGATACTGATGGAAGAGACCGGTAATATTGGTGCAGATCATAATTGTTTAAACAACAAAGAAGTTATTGGTCATAAACAAGTCCTTGCAATGATCGGTGTTGAAACCCGAACCTTGACGGGTTGGACGGCGAGCCAAAGATCAATTGTCGCCCGCTGCAATGCAAACATCAAATCCCTGATACTCTTTTCGCCCGGAGATGGGAAATGTAAAGCTAGGTAGAAGGTATATACAACGGTTGAACATTGCTCAATACATAAGACCATAGCCCTTATGTGTAGTTTATTGATTGAAATGTGTCATGTTAATCAACTAATGCGTGTTTTGTATGCTGAAAGTCACGTGTTAGCGGAATGACGCGTTTTGCCTGCTACGCGTTTAAGTTGGAAGTTGGATTTTTTTTTTCTTTAATTTCGTTAAGAAACAATATAAGTAATGTGAAAATCAATGTCATGAGCGGTACTTGAACATCTTAACGAATTTACTCAACTTTGATCATTTTAAGTTTACGTGTGCAAAAAAAGCAATTCTCTCAATTACCTAACAGAAATATGCAAGGGATTTGGCAATGATGAAATCTAGCATGAGAAAAAACGAATGATATATATCAATAAGTATTTGATAAAGTTATTTAACTTACTGTATATTATACTATAGAGATGGAAGGAAAGTCAAAATGCTAATGGTTATTAGCAAGAAATTGAGAAAAAAAAAAATCAGAAGTAAAGAAAAGTAATAAAAGTAATAGGCACATGTTTTGAAATTATTGTTTGCAAAGTCTAATTATCTTGAAACAAATTAATAGGTATTAAATAGGAATAATTATTAAATTTGAAAACAAATTAAAAAATTCATTGAATTAAGTATAAATATAGAAATTTTTATTTGCAGTGTTTTTTAGGCAAGCTACTTTATTTAAGGATAAATTTTTCAAATTAATCAAATTTTTTTGCAAACATTAAACATTCAACTGTAATTCTTTTGAATTGCAAATATAATCTTTGAATATGTAACAAATTCGATACACTATGTTCAGATATTTATGATATACTGTATGCATATACAAATATTATGTTTTGTGAGTGGCATTATGTTTAACAAAAAACTTTTGTCACTAATGTACTGTATTTGAGTTTGTAATTCTGAATTATTCTAATTTCATTAAAGCTAGATTTTACTTCGCTCGGTAGAAACTATTAGAGTGCTTTCGATTACATAATGCATAACATAATGGAGAGATGCATGATGCCGGGAAAGCCTTCTAATGGGTATTATAAGAGATTATACTGTATATCCTTCGATGCCCAGTTTCTTTAAACGGCATTCCATCAATTCAAATTCGGTTATGGTGGTAATCTTGATGCAACGGGAAAGTGATATTGAAAATTAATGCTAGCAGTAAACTATAATCTATTGAACATCCAACATTAAAATAATTGTTAATTGTATTAAACAATGGTTTAAATAAATTCTAGCGCAGAGGCATATTAATTACTCGAATATATTAATACAAGTTTGAAAACCCGAATAGATACATTGTTCGGGTCGTCATATTCTGAATCGAATTATTCCTTTTTAGAAAAAAAGGTTGTAAAAGCAATATCACTGGGAGAACAAAAATTGACCATATAGAATTGCATGTGAAAAGTTACCAAGAAATTGATTGTTTCTTCGTCGATGTAAAATTTCTTTTTTCTTTTCACAAGTTGAAAAAGAATTCTGAGAATGTAAAAAAAGATATAAACATTGAATTCCATTACCCAACCAAATTGTGATAGGTTATTCGTAAATCACATCCTTCTAGGTTGTTTTCATTTCTTACTATTTAGCGGAGGAAACGTGATTTTCATTCCACATATACTGAGTCAAGTTATCAATATGATCTCGTTCCAAAAGTTTTAGTTTCTCAAATTGAGACCGAGTCATGCCACTGGCATAACGCCGGTAGAATATTCGTTCGTTCATTTATCTTTATTTACAGGTGACGGAGATTTTATCTCCTGGTGGCAAAATTTTTACATATTAAAAATTACTATAACAATTATTAAAACTAATTAATCTCCTTTATCTACTTATATCCTTCACGGCAGTTTAATATCCTGGCCGCATTTGCCAACCATGACCTGCCTGAGGGCGGTGGTAACCTGACTGCAAATGAGGCGGATATTGAGGCGGGTATGGCTGTCCGCCATAATATCCACTGTGCCTCGAGGAACCAGGGATTCCATATTCTGTCCCAAACGGTGAATTCATTGGCGCGTATCCTGTTGTTTGTGGACGTGATGGTTGTTGTGGTCGTAGCTGTGCTTGCATTTGTGGATGTGATTGCATTTGTACTTGCGAATGTGATTGAGTGTATGGTTGCACTTGTGAATGATAATATTGTGGATTTAGTTGTGTTTGGGCTTGTTGAAATGGTTGTGGTGGTGTTTGTGTTTGAACTTGCGAGTGTGTTTGAGGTTGTTGAAGTTGTGGTCGCGCTTGTGATTGTGATAGCGACGGCGGACCCATCATCATAGGTCTGGCAACGGCTGATGTTAATTGCGTAGAAGCGACTTTCGTAATTTCCGAAGGTTGGGTCACACTTGAAAGACTGCTGAAAGCTTCACGAGACACTTCATTTGAGTGATATGCGCGACAATTGTTCGGTGGAAGCATCCCTCTAAATGCCGACTCACGTATGGGTAAATTAATCATCGCTTTTTCTATGGATCCAGGGTAAACGAGTTTAGAAGGTGGAACGGCGGATATCATTTCCGCGAGTCGTTTTCGCAATTTCATACCTATCCATCACAAAGAAAAAAAATTAACAATCATGAACATCTTTCGAATCACGAACACAACTCTAAGCTTAATAATAGCCTACCGAGATTTTTCTCTTCTGCGGTTATGACATCCGGATTCGTGATGAACCTTTTATTTTGCAACTTTTGCAATTCCGCAAACATTTTTACATTCTTGTCTAACTTCTTATCCGACAAAGGATTGTTGTCGTCCTCGTCTTCTACCGATTCATATATCATCTCGATGTCAATATCTCTAAAAAACTCTGCCATGGTAATATCTGAACCATCTAACTGATTGATGAATTCACTAGGTGCTAATGTACTCTCTGACTCTGAGCTATCGCCGTCAACTTCGACCGACATTTCAACATCGTTTTCCACATTATCTTCACTTGACATCGTTGGTTTAACAGAGTTACTGACAGTTCTTTTGGTTTTTTTGTATGCACACGTCATTATTGTATCTTCGTAGGACAAATATGCATCTCTCGAATTGTATATCGGGTAAAATGAACCGTATGTTTTATACGAATTAAATTTAACTAAGTAGGATGTAGAAGTGGGTCAGGTAATTGTGTCCGTGTTGTTGTTCAAGGAAAGTCTATCGTGGAATTCAAACAGAAAAAAGACGCGCACATACCTCCAGTGACAACGAGATCTCCGGGTATGTCAATCTCCGGTTTCTTACCCTTTTTGGATAAAATATCTCCAAGGGAAGGAATATCGCTCATTGACTGTTGGGGAACCACAGCCACATCTTTCACGTCACCAACTTTTTGGATATCAAACAGTATTGTCAACCGGTGCATCAAGTCGGTGTGCATCTAATATAAATAAACAGATTAAGAATGGCGATCGCATACCTAAATCAAATTTCTGATTGTCCGAGATTGTTTGTTTCAATGCCCCACTTGAGAAGACGTGCCCATTGTTCGTTGGTTGGACAAGAGCAATCTTCTGAGACCTCTTCGGGACTATAAATTATCGAAGTTCAAAATAGATCTAACAAATTGACCTTGTTTTATGATATGTTCTGTGCTTACATGCATTATTATCTGATTGTGTAACCTCATGGTTCAGTTCATCCTCGACGTCTGAATGTCGTTTACTAATCGGAACTTCATTGATGGCCTGTTCAATCAATCGAGATCCAAGTCTAATAAACTGCTTTCCAAATTCGTAGTCTCGTAGGTTTTTGGACATCGCGTCGTTAACAACGGAAACGAAGTCGTGCTAAATTTGGAGGTTTAATGTGCATTAATGACCCCTAACGCTTCCAAGAGATCGAATTTCAAATTAAACATTTTATACCTGAAATCCTTTTAGCGAATTATATTTGTTGCCTTCAATGTTAGTACGCATCATGTTAGAGTTTAACACTTGCTCTTCAGCGTTCGTGCTAACAGTCTTCTTATCATTTTTCAGAAAGTGGTGCACGTCGCGGCTAGAAAGATCAAATTGGGAATTATTGCGAGTCACTTCAATATTGAAATTGATTCAAGGATGACTCACGCTTCTAAAATATCCATAATCTTTGATAACAAAACCCTAAATTCGTAGGTATCCTTTTTCTCTTCTTCTCTTTGACTATACGATCTTGTGACTTTCTCATTATCGAATTCATTGTCTTGAGTTATTTTCTCTTCATTGTTGTTAGTTAGCGATGGAATTGGATACGTTCTGGAGGAATTAGAGTTGTTTTCTTTGATTTCATTTACATCATAATCATCATCATCTTGCGCATCGCTTTGAGAAATTTTATAATTGCCGTCACCATTCTCAATATTATGCTTTCCCTTCTGATGGTTCCCAACACCGTTGGTATTGATGTTTTCACCATTGATGATACCATTGGAAATTCCTTGCGATACATGATTTTGCACCCCTTGTTGAACATCGTCCAGTTGCATGTTGTCACCAGTCAAGTCTTTATGACCGTCATCTTTTCCCCCTATACTGTTCGACAAAATAGATTTGTTCTCAAGTTTACGTAGGGAATTTTCAGTCTTAGCTTTATCCTCTCCTATGTTGTTAAACAGTAACTTGGCACGTTTGGTGGGTTGCAGGTGGGTGTCATTTTTCGACTCCGTGGATATTGAGGAATCGACTTGTTGTTTTGACGAGTTTGTGTTGGAGTCAGCAGGTGGTGAATAACTGGTATTTGGCATCTCTATAGCAAGAAGTTCATATTCAGAAGCTCGTTTCCTTTTCGTTTCGGACACTAAATCGTTTTGAGTAGAAGCCGTAATGGTGTCAAACTCAGAATCTTGGCGCCGTTTGGAGCGTGTGGTTACCCGGGGTTTGGGGGTAGATCTGGTAGCTTCGACAGGTGTCGGAGCTAAAATGTGCGAGAAGGCGTGTTAGGTACGGTTAAGATTAACAGGGAAAGTATTTACGCGAATCCAACTCTTTGCAACGTGTATTCATTTGTATACAAGCGGAATTACGAATACGAAAGTGAGCAGAAGCGAGGTTTGCATTTCATAGTGACTTACAGGTTCTCCGAGAATTGCGTCGTTGTTGTTTTACCATTTTGTTTATTTATATTGTCGAACTTAATTTTTAAGGTGAGTTCTAATTGTTCAATTTATAAAGGGCATGGAAAGGATGACTCGAGGGCGGGCCTAAATTTTGTGAGAAAGTTGGGTTTTCTCGAATAGGAGATGGGCGATGTGATGTAATAGAGAAATGTTTAATGAATTTCCCGGACACGGTGAACGTCAGCTGAAAAATGTTTCTTTAAAATTGAATTCTGTGCCAAATTTATTCCCCACCAGAAGAGTGGATGATCAAAATAATGATAGTCCAGCCCGTGAAACATGCGTTAAGTTTTGTACCACCTTTGTCTGACATTTTAGGTGAAGTTGGGCCCATCAGAGATAAAGGATCAACGTGACCTCCTATTTGAGGTGGCGCAGGTAATAAAGTGCACGCAAACGACGTCTGTCTGAATTCCAGGATTAGATTTGTTGAAGACGAATACTTTCATGACCGTTCGTGAGGGAATTCCACATCCGATTGACCAAAGAAAGGAGAGATAGGCTTATCTAACAATATTGTTTGAAATTTTAACATTTTGCACATCGCCGGGGAGGAAAGTGAGGGAAGGACTGCAAATTCATGAGATTACAATCTGCCATTGTTAAAAAAAAAAAATAAAATAAAAAAAATAAAATAATAATTCAACAATTTTTGAAAATCTGTTTAAACTCGGTGCACAAACATATCGATCTCTCCAGTTCCTCGATTAGTTGATGACATGTGTAATTGCATTATGCAGCTTGCGAAAATTTTGCTATTTGGGTTCTATAAGGATACGCATTGATTTGTGTGATGATTACAAAAAAATTTCTCGATCAGCATACGCGCTCATGTTCGATGATACGTAACTCGCGTTTCAATGTGAAATTGGTGCTAGGCTCGCGGTTGATTTTCCGGGGATTAACGGCTGTTGATGATTGCGTAAGAATTTTGACAGACCACTGATCGATTAATCAACTATGCAAGCAAATGATCTCCGTTTTCTGCGAATAATGAGTGATCGGAATCCAATCTATTTTCCTCGGGGTGGTCAAGGTCGGTAGGCGATGAAACTTTGCGGCAGCGGATGTCTAGATTGTATCACAGTAACACGAGCGAGCATCCAGGGCACGATCCGGTTGACATTTCTTGTTTATT